TTGCATGACCTGTTCCTGGTGCTATAGCCTCTGACGCCGGGTAGTTGCTCTGGAAAACAGACCTGATCAATATAAGAGTGTGGGTTCATGCCAGCATTCGCCAGCAGATTGGAACATTACAAATGCAAATGTCCTGAGCAACTTTATGTTGCGAACACGCGGATGCTCGCGGAGAGCGGCCGTTGGTTTGGAACCGCGCTGGTGCCGCTCCCGAGTCGGCGACGGTGGAGGCCTCATTTGCGCTCAGGGGCCATGGCGCAGCTGGGGTTCGAACCCGGGCTCCCCACTTGGAAAGCGATGGCGCTAACCCCTCCACCGGTACGCCCCAAGGGGAAAATTGTGGTGCGTGCCGAACTATAAATGAAAGCCAGTTGAGGTTATTATTTTCTGTGGCACACGCAACTTAAACTTGGCTCCTTAATTCTCAAGAGGAGCATTGCCAGTGTCCTATAGGCTAAACAAGTTACGTGATCCGGTCGCGAGACCACTTGCGTTAATTTATCAAACCTTGGTTTGGTTGTTGGCCCCAGAAGACACATTTGTTAATTGACTTTTTCAAGGTGCAAGATACTAAAACATCCGAAGCGTTACTCCAATCGTCGCCAAAAATTGCGAACCTGGATTTGAGGCACATTAGAACCACCCTTAAGTATTCTCATATCAGTGCGGCATGTAAGACGCTGCCCCGTGCAGTAGTCAGCCTGCTGTAGAACAAGTCACATTTGCCTGTCGTTAGACAGCACCACGGCTCTGCCCGGGGTTGACCACTGGTTTATTCCCCTGCCGACTGTCATTTGTCTGCGCGCACTGCCTCAGACCACTTTTGCCTGCTTTTGCACCAGGCTGGCTGCCGGGAGATATTGACCCTGGGTGGCGCTCTGGGATTTGTCTCTGGGTGACGGACCTCCGTCTGTGCTTCGTGATTGGTCTTTTCCATCGTCTCGATGCTTTGCCCAGAGAGCTGGTACACGTTTTGCCATATGTTTTAATCCTGTACAAGTGCACGCCAGGTCATTCGGAGGGAAGCTCAGCGCCGCTGAGTGCGCCTTAAAGGCCAAATGAGCGGCACACGACTGCACACGCGGTGCCGAAGGGCTGAAACAAACTTTCTGTATGCTGATTCTCATCCAGTCGTCGCGTGATTTTTCTGATCCAATCGTCGTCACACTCAAGATAAATATTTATGCGGACAAAGACTTACACGCATTTACTTTCTATCTAGAATTGCCGTTCACCGTTGCACCCAGTACGGCCATGATCAGCGCTGGCGGACGCGTTAGCTGTACGGGACCCGCTCCCCCCGCCCGTGAACCGTGTCGTTGACTGTACAAGGTCCCGCTCCCTCCGCCCGTGAACCGTGTCGTTTGCTGTACGGGACCCGCTCCTCCACCTGCGCACCGTGTCATTTGCTGTACAAGGCCCCGCTCCCTCCGACCGTGAACCTTGTCGTTTGCTGTACGGGACCCGCTCCTCCACCTGCGCACCGTGTTATTTGCTGTACGAGGCCCCGCTCCCTCCGACCGTGAACCTTGTCGTTTCTGTACGGGACCCGCTCCTCCACCTGCGCACCGTGTCATTGCTGTACAAGGCCCCGCTCCCTCCGACCGTGAACCTTGTCGTTTTTGTACGGGACCCGCTCCTCCACCTGCGCACCGTGTTATTTGCTGTACGAGGCCCCGCTCCCTCCGACCGTGAACCTTGTCGTTTTCTGTACGGGACCCGCTCCTCCACCTGCGCACCGTGTCATTGCTGTACAAGGCCCCGCTCCCTCCGACCGTGAACCTTGTCGTTTCTGTACGGGACCGCTCCTCCACCTGCGCACCGTGTTATTTGCTGTACGAGGCCCCGCTCCCTCCGACCGTGAACCGTGTCGTCTGCCGCACGGGCCCCACTCCCTCCATCTGAACCGTGTCGTTTGCTATGCGGGGCCCCGCTCCCTCCGACCGTGAACCGTGCCATTTGCTCTACTGGGCCCCGCTCCCTCCGCCGGTAACACGTCGTGTGCCCACGGGGCCCGCTCCCTCCGCCCGTGATTCGTGTCGTTTGCTGTATGGGGCCCCGCTCCCTCCGCCCGTGATTCGTGTCGTGTTCTGATGCGATTCCGTGCCGGCGCCGGCACGGAGCCAGTGTTCAAGGCGATCAGGGTGGCATCGATCGTGACTGCACAAGGCGCCTCCACTTGACCTTGCGCTGTGCCTGCAGGCGGCGTGTGCGGCACGCGCCCGCACTGACCTCTGCCACCGGCGGCGCTCTCCGGGCCGTGGCACCTGCGCCGGGCCGTAGGCGGAGAAGACTCGAAGACTACGCGCCTTGTGTGAGCTGCGGCCGGAGTGAGGGAGGCGGACCGTGTGAAGCGCCGTCCGGCCTGCCGCGGCGGGCTCGACGCCGTCACTGAGGGTTTTCGCCAACGCCGAAAGACTCTACGCCGGCCCCGGACTCGTGCTGACGCCTTGAGCCACGAGCTTTCCGCGGGCACGTGGCAACCCGTGCAGTGATGTGATGACGTCACCGGGAGGCCTGAGTGACGCAGTGTTGTGACGTCACCGGGCGCCTAGAGGAGACAGCCATGTCGAGCGGGATCATCCAGACGCTGACCGAGGTGAGTCATGGTTGCCCCTCACCCCTCTTACTAGGCCTCCACCTCCCTCCCACTCTCCTCCCTGTCTCCACCCCCTCCCTCCTACTCCTCTCCTTCCCCCTCCCTTCCCTCCCCTTCTCTCCTCCCTCCGTGTCGTGCTCGCCCATTCGTCCAACCATCATTGATCGTCGGGTGACGTTTAGCAGCGGAGGTGGACCGCGAAACTCCTGTAGGTTTAAAACGAAACACCGGCGGTAGACGAGTTTACATTTAGCCACAAGAAACTCCGTGCCGAAGAGGCTGCACTGCGCCCGGCTTCATCTGGCCACGCGTACCAGGCTCATCTCATCATCTGTCGGGCGACGATTCACCACTGTGCTCTCGATGCAGCGACACGCCGGCCGTCGAACGCGTGCGGTGGAGATGTCGGAATAGTGAGTTTTGTTCGCTACTGTCTCGCTGCTTATGGCAAGAACTCACCCGTGTCTGTTTCCCCCCATTGTATTAGCTATAAAATCCACCAAGTTTCGAATGTACGCGACCCAGGCACATAAGATGACATAAATTGGAAAATAATTTGATACCTGGGCCTCTACAATGTAGCTTCTGGTTTTGTGTGAGGTTTTATGGTGTCGACCGGAGATACTTGTCGGTGACGCGCTTAAGCGTCAGAACTGAGCGGATGGGATTAATCAAGGCAGTCGACGCGCCCTACAAGCCGCAAACGAATGAAAAATAGAATAAATGATTAATAAATAAATAGACATATGCATATATGCATATATATATATATATATATATATATATATATCCCCGATCTCTCCTCTCTCTCTCTCTCTCTCTCCTCTCTCTTCTCTCTCTCTCTCCTCTCTCTCTCTCTCTCTCTCTCTCTCTCTCTCCTCTCTCTCTCTCTTCTCTCTCTCTCTCTCTCTCTCTCTCTCTCTCTTCTCTCTCTCTCTCTCTCTCTCTCTCTCTCTCTCTCTCTCTCTCTCTCTCTCTCTCTCTCTCTCTCTCTCTCTCTCTCCCCCTCCCCCTCCCCCTCCCCCTCCCCCTCCCCCTCCCCCTCCCCCCCTCCCCCTCCCCGTCTCCTCTATCTCTCCTTTCATCTACCTTGTTTCTATTTTCTCGCCAGCCTTCGATTAAGTCTTCACCTGCCACCTGATAACGTGTGACTGTGTGTCCCCGTTTGGCCACTGTCGGTGGTTGGCATCGACCGCAGCATAAATATCCATGTGTCGCCACAAAATTGTCCTAATGCATCACACGGCGTTGGCCAGTGTTGATAATGCACCACACGGCGTTAGTTCCAGCGCGTTCTGTTAAATGCACTTTACGCTGGTAGGTGCAGTATGCGCCGCACATATTTCGCTGTTTGGGTGTTTTGGTGTCCGTTCTGCACAAGCCGAAAATTCTGATCCTTTTTTAGATTGAGGCCGCTCAAAACCTTCTGAAACATATTGTCTGTGTTGCACTTCCAGCAGGATTCCGTGCTTTACGGCAACGTTATTCGCAGATGAGGCAAAGCCAAACCTTTTTCGACTCCCCCTCCTCACTCCCCCCTCCCTGACAGAATCAAGCACTAGTGAGGAAATGTTGCGACGTAGCAAAGGTGTGCATGCAATAGCGATGCTTCTGTTCGTTTGGGAGTTATAACTTGGACTGCATAATTGACTGGTCGGCCGACGCAGCATTGTCGACTCACTGACGCCACATGATGACGGTGGACGTCCATTGCCCTATGGAATTAACGGTCGGCCGACGCAGCATTGCCGACCCACTGACGCCACATGACGACGGTGGACGTCCATTGCCCTAGTCGATCCCTGTCGCCTGCTGTCCTGTCCGCCGCCGTTTTTTGTCTAGACTGGAAGTCAGCCCCGGACTCTTGGGAAAGTGCGGCGGCGTGGCAACTTACGTGGTAACGTGTGTGTTTTGTGCCGGGGCTTTCGCATACACAGTCTGGCTCAGCGCTGGGCAGTTTGTGTGTGTAAAGATCGTTTTGTTGAAATCTTATAACGGTGTTGCAGGTAACCTCTTTTTGGATCCCTTTCACACTGGTTCGGGCTGATTGTTTATTTTTGTCAGGGCTGCTCTGACCATTTTCATTAACAAAGAATGTCCTTCACGTGTTTTTTTTCGGCGTTTTGAGTTTAGAATCTCACGCTAGGTGATCGGTCTGCAATATACCAGGAGATACTAGTTGAACGACTTCGTAGTACAAACACTGGTTATATTGACAGTACTCGACGTTTCAAGCTTAACTTACATCACGAGTGAAAATCATTGAGCAAGGCTGAGAAGAAAAATACTAACCAACCAAGACGCGTGGTTTAAAAAATACTCCAAATCTGTGTAGACACTGTGACAAAAAACTAAAAAATAAGGAATCATTCAGGCTCAAATATCTTCACACCTGACATGCGGCTCTGCACTGGAAGTTACACGAAACGCAAGCGACTAAGCCGGAAGATTACGATGACCCCTGGCAGGATGACCCGTGCCGAGTAGTAGGCTCAAGCGTTACTTACCACCATCATCAGCAAGCACTGTCCGAACCTGCCGCACGTCCCAGGAAGTCGATGCTCACGACGTGGCACACAGTAATACACGGCACTGCTGGGGCTGTCCGGGGTCCAGGGCAGGTCAGTCCGGTCGAGTAGCGGCGGCGCTGAAGCACGGCCAGGACGGGAGGGGTCTCCTCGGCCTGGCGCCTGGGAGGCGTTGTTCGCCCCGTACAGTATCGGGGTAGCTCTGGAGGGGACCACCTCCCGAGGGAGTGTGTGGCCATCTCCCATTTGGGATCTGATGTGGGTGGAGAGCCTCGGTACCGAAACTGAATGAAACCACTCTGTGTATGGTTTTTTCAAACCGTCCAAAACCGAGGCCCTCCGAAATGAAGACGGACCGCGCTCGGTTCCGGGCGCAGGGCGGAATCAGGTCCACCTGCTCCACGGATGCTTTGCTTCGCGCTGTGGTTGACTGGGAGATGGTGCGATAAAGGTCGAATTCTCCAACGGTGTCGACGCGACACGGACTGGGACGGCCGCTGAGTTTGTGTATGACATGATGACAGGGGGTCGAAAGCGAGACGTGAGCGTGCCAATGACAACCACAGCACACCAAACCGAGAAGTTTTCTCCAGGCATCAAACTGCTCTGATCTTCAGAATGTCGGGGAGAAGGAGATGGTCCCGGGCTTGAGAGTACATGTAGCCACCGTAGCGAGCCGGATCACGGTTTATGAGGGGGGGGGGGGGGGAGGCAATTAGATGCCCACGAACAACGTAATTATCACGTTCAACCTAACTAATCCACCCTCAGACGTTCATGTTGGCTACGCCGTTGTCATTGAGTGCGTGGTCCCAAACCTATGCGCTTCTCCCAGCGTCAGCGTTTCGGCCACACGAAACGGCACTGCCGGAACAGACTATGGCAAGTGTGAGCATGAAGGGAACCAGTGCGACGCTGCGCAGTCCTGGTGTGTGAACTGTGGCGCTGGTCAGGCACCTCACACGACCTTTGATGGAAGTCGTCGGACATTCATGAACGAGGAGGAAATCAGCTCCCTGAAAACCGCCAAAAACATCCAATCTCGCGAGGCACGACAGCTGTGTGAGACAAGTGATCCCAGGACGTCCTACGCAGAGAAAGTCAAAAGTTCAGCGCCGCAGAATACGACCACCGACCAGATGTCAGCTCTTCGGCTCATTCTGCTCCTGAAGTCTTACGGACTCTCAGTGGTGCCGGCAGGGCAGTCGACTGGCGGCTGGCCTGAGCCCTTTTATTGCATTGCATTACACGTTATCAGGTCATTCCGCAGTATTTCTTCTTCTATTTTTTAATTTATTTATGCTGGTTTTACACATTATTTATTATATATTTTGTTTTTATATCTATTATTTTGATTAGGCTATTTTTAGACCTTCATCAACAGGTTCATCGACAGTCACATGACAAGTATAACGCAACACGAAAATACATATGCAGGAGGTTGAGAATGGCAGGTAGGTACTTTGAATAATATCAAGGACACGGGTCTTAAAAGTAGAAAAAATATAAGCCCGCAATGTCGGTGCTGATGACACTCTCGTTGCAGATACACCCAGCCCGGTAGGCGTATGCTCGCTTTCCATGGTTCGTATGCGAAAAAGGGATAAATGACTAGATTGATGCATTATGCGCTCGGTGATTTGTGGTTGTAGTAGAACCGAGAACCTAGAGTGTCTTGTTTCCCCTGTCTATCAATAGCCTGTGTAAAAGGCATGTATCGAAGAAGTCAATAAACTTTTGGGCGCTAAGCCAGCCAAACCGTCGTAGGACATTCGGCACACGGTCAAAGTTATATCGTCCGGAGATCACCCTAACTGCGAGGTTAAACACTTTGCAAGTTCACAACAGCCGTGCTGTTCGCGCCCCCTTAAACTTGAGCGCAGTAACGAACATGGTAGAACACAAGTGCGTCAATTATGCGTGGCAGAAGGTTGGCAAGTAGAACGTGCTTTGCATTTAAGAGAGCGACAAGAATGCCAACACAACGCCTATCGACATGGCTCACGCGCAGTTCCCAGAACAGTGCAGGATCCATGATCACGCCTAAATTTTTACACTATCTCAGCGTCAGAGAGGCTTATCCATAAACATGACGGTGGGTGACTCACGCACCTGGCTCAGTTAGCGCCTGCCTTCATGGAGTGAAAGCTACGTCTCACCAGCGCCATCATGCCATGTTGGGGAAACCAGGAGCACGTGGTGTCCAGGACCGTCTCCAAGGATTTCCGGAGATCTGACAGCCTGCTACGTGGTCTAGTGGCGGCGACCTGTGTGTTGTCACCATAGTGGGCCACTGTTGCACGGAAGCTCTTGATTTGAAGTGGTATATGGCAAGTGAGGTCATTGCTGGTTATATTATGTAACAAAGGGTCGAGGCACGAGCCCTGAAAAGTGCCGATAGTGATGTTAAATGGGCTGGAAAGCGTTTTTCCCACTCTTATTCGCTGTGTGCGACCCTCCAGATAGTTCTCG